ATAATAATAACGATGATGATGATGATAGCAACAATAATAATAAACTTTATAGGAATACACCGTTTATGGGAATAAAAAATACAATGTTTATAGAATGAATAAATGGAAATAATTATATAACAATATATCTTTTTGAAAAGATTGTAGCTTAATAATAACAATGATTATTTAAATAAGACAACAACAACTGTTATAAGGACAACGCTGACAAAGACAATGATGAAAACTCAATAATTATTCTCTTGTATAGCCTACTCTTGTTGTTTTTGTTGTAGTTGTTGTTTTTGTCGTTGTTGTTATTATTGTTGCTGTTGCTATTGATGTTGATGTTTTTGTTTTGTTGCTGTTGCTGTTGTTGTTGTTATTCTTATCCTTGTGCTTGTCCTTGTTTTTGTTTTTTTCGATATTGCTGTTGTTTTCTTCACAATTCTGAATTATACTACGCCCTCTGCAGAAACAATTATTAGATTGTATCACCATCTAAAACTGACTCCCAAAGGCCCCGAGCTCAGTCTGCATTAGGTCTAAATAAGAAAAGACAAGACAAGATAAAACGTACGTTATTGACCCTACTTTGGAAGATACTGACAGTGTTCATTTATCAGATCCTCCGACACATGATATCATTAAACATACGTGGCATTACATTATTTTTTTTAAAACCCATTGCCACTCTCTTACGCACATACCCACTTCTTCGTGCATTTCAACACATGGCATGATAAGCCTATGAACAAACACAGGACATAGATAATATATGCTTATGATATATGGGTAAAAGTACCCCCCACCCCATAAGCATCCACCTTCCACCCTCTTCTTCGCGTATCAGGACGATTTTAGAAGCCCTTTGTTATTACTAAAAGTAAAAGACGCTACAGTTTAAAAAAATAAATAGCAACCTTTTGTGATCAACTCGGTGACCTCAAATTTCGCGCATTAGGGAAATCCAGTTTGAAATTAGGGGCCAGAGAGGTTTATTGTACTTTCACCCAAATAATGCAATTGTCCTTTGTCATTAAGGACAGAAGTTTCCACACCTTTAGACACACCCTGATGTGGCGTTGTCCAAGCCAACTTGGCAATAGCTGGGTCTGTGGACAGGAAACACAGGACAGGGTTGTTGGAGAGGAGGAGTAAGGGGTTAATTTTTTATTGAACTTTTTCACCCTTACATGTGACTAAACATGGAGGGAGTGGATAGAGATGTGATAAAAGATAGAGAGAGTAGACAGAAAAGTTACAAAAGATAAAGATAGAATATACATAGATGTGACTAAAACAAGAGAGAGAGAGAGAGAG